AAGTTGGGGGGAGCAGAAGCAGCTGCGTGCCGCATAAATATGCGTGTGTATGTCGCAAGGCTGCTATTGATTTTCCAGGCCCTCAACCACAACTCAGCTCTCGCTCCGTGCTCCTTCCTCCGAGCTCCAGCCCGAATGCGGAGGAGTCGAGGTCCCGACATGCCAAAGTTTGGTTTAGATAGCGTTGTTAAAGTTGTTGTTGCCACCATTGCCATATCAAGTGGGTCGTGTGGCCCAAACTATTCGCTAGCCAACTTGCTTGGACAACTTGCGCTGTGGCCGCTCCCCCCGGCCCCCGGTCGTCCTGGGAAAACTTTAACTGAAACAAGAATGCCAGTTGTGTTTGCCAAAGAGTTGCGACTGGACTCGACAATTTGCCGTGTGTCAGCTGCAGGTTTCAGCGCTCCTGGTGACTGCTGATGGATTGACCAGATGTTTGCCCAGGGCCGGGAAAAAGGCAGCAATCAGTCAGTGCATCAATCAATCTTTCAATGAATGAAAATGCTGACGCAGAGCTTGATTAAGTCGTGGCCAATCAACAAAGCAAACATTTTGCCAAGTGATTTCAGTTTTCCTTTTTTTTTTTTTTTGTATCTCGCCCCGTAGCTGCTGCTTGTGTGATTTGTGACTGCGAATGGCCCATTTCCCCACTAGCCGATAAACACTGTACAGCTTTTGCCATTGTGTCATGTAATTTGTATGCTTGCCTTGGCATGAAAACGATGCTTCGATGCTGCAGCCGGGCTAAAAATCGCTACAAGAAATCACATTATCCCATCGGCATCGTCATCATCCTCGTCGTTATCATCGTAATAATCGCCAAGGCTGCTGGCTTTCCGGCCGGAGCAACAGTTTCGGCCCACAAACAAATTGTTATGCTCCTTGCCGCCTTGGAAATCCATTAGAGCCGGCAAACAGAGCCAAAATGGCGCCCCGTAGCTCACTATATGTCATACTGAGAGAAATCAGTTTAGCAAATCAAAGTCATTGATTAAACTATAAAGTAAATAATTTAAGAATTAAATGATAGTCGAATGTATTAGTTTAATACATTTGGGGCCTAAAACTAAGACACAAATGCACGAAATGTGGATTAGTCATGAAAGGATATAGATCCTTGCAGGGTTTAAAGTCAGTCAGAAGCTTAAAATTCACTGAAGGAGTCATTTCCGACCCTATAAATCATATATATTCTTGATCAGAATCAAAAGCCGAATCGTTCTAGACATGTCCGGTTGTAAAATAAATTTTTGAAAATTTTTCGAAATTTTACAATTTTATAAGGGGTTACATCATTAAAATTGCCAAAATTTGACAAAAAATTAAATGTTTTAAATTTTAAATCTTAGTATGCAGATTTGTCAGCTTTTTAAAAACTATCACAGAACTTCTTTCCAAATTGAATTTAATGCATTTTGGCTTAATTATGACATTTGAAAAACTCTGATTTACCCCAAAAATTAGCATATAAAAACATTGAATTAATATACCTAAAATAATGCATATTTTAGGTATTTAGGTATAATGCATATTTTAGGTATATTAAAACAATGTTTTTATATGCTAATTTTCGGGTTTCTTAGAGGTATACAAAGGCCACAAGAAGCTAATGTCTTCGCTTTCTGAAAATAACTTCCTTTCTTGTCTTTCATTAACATATTGAGAAGCAATAATAATAAGTACAAATTAACACCGATAGCTTTAGGTTCCGGATATCCCAAAAGTCGAGTACATTTCCCCGTGGCATATTTAATTGTTTACTTCTGAGAGATGTTATATTTATTTACAAAGTAATTAAAATTTAATGAGAACATCAAAGCAATCCATTTAGAAAAGAGGAAATTCTAATGGTCTCTAACCCAAAACTATGGCTTTTTTTCTCTGTATACATATTAGTACTTTTGGCCCGAAACTAACAGGGTCAGGGTGCAAGGCGTTGGCAGTGGAGTGGAGCGGGGAAAATGGGCCTCAGTGAATGCGGAAAATTGAAATGGAAATTAAGTTCGAACGGGGCCAGATGAAGATGTGCTGCCACCTGGCATGCGGGAGTGTATGTGTGCTATCTGGCCTGTATTCTCAGGTTACATTCTTCCCCCAAAAACACTTTTGAATTATTCACCTGAAGGCAACCGATTATGCCTTTTGCTGCCCGGGCCCTTGACGAATATTTCAGACACGCATCACTTGTACTTAATTAAAATGAGGATGCGAATTCCGGCTAATGTGACAGAGATTAAGTTGGAGCCAATGCGAAGAGTTAATTGAAAGCGTTTCAATTTCACTTCTTCGCAATTTATTTCGACAAGCGAATCCGCAGACATTGAGTGTGTGTGCGTGCCTGTGATATGTGTGTGTTTCTGTCTGCCTGTTAGGCGGAAAATTATCATTTCCTTGGCCTTTGTTCGCACAGTCAATGGAATCGGGGGAAGAAAAATGAAATGAAAGGTTTTCACTTTGGTTTCCGTGCTGACACAATACTAACATTTCTACGTGCTGTGTGTGTGTGTGGTGTGTGGTGTGTGGTGTGTGCTTAGGTGCGTGACAGCGGTAATTTAGATATCCCAAATATCTTGTTCTTTTCGCGCGTCTTTTGTTTCGCCACAAAAGCTGACTTAAGGCTCGCTTGTCAACGCCATCGCCATCGCCGCCATCTTGCGATTCTTGTTTTTCCCCACGCCTTTTTTCAGCTGTTTTCCCGTTATTTATTGCCTCTGCCTTGTCCTCCCCTTCCCGTTTTTCGTTGTCTGATTCATTTTTTTGTCATCTTTATGGAATTTTTATCTCTTTTAATTTATATATATTCTTCGCTTCAGCCTTCATCGTCCCAGTCACAATTTAATTGCCGCTCGGGTTTTATGGGGAAAAGCCAAGCCTGGGGAAAGCGCAAGCGAGTCCTTAGCCATTTTCTCCCACAACTGGATGCTACTTGCATTTTACGCTCAACTTGGCTGGCTTAGGTATAAGCCTTATATTTCAGCATTCCTCTACATACTTTATGGCTCGCTGGCCTTAATCAAATTGCCTGAAGATTTGCCCAGCTTCACGGTTTACGGGGCGTATACGCGATTTGATGCCACATACATGTGCAATTTAGAGCGGACCCCCTCTATTTTTTACAATCCTAACAGTTTTTTAGTGCACTTTTTCACCGCCAGGCGTATGATTAACTCTGCAGCGGAACCCTGCATAAACTTTACACTCAAAAGGATATTTTTGTGGATTTTTTTTCGGAAAGAACTGCAGTTGTTGGAGCTGATTCTGCGCCATTGTGCGAAACTTCAGCTTCCAGTTGCCATGGCCACTGCAACTGTAGCTTTGCCCGTGTTTACCCCCATTGTTGTTGAATTGAATGAGGGGGATTGGGAGGGGGGGAAGGCAAAGGGATGAGGATGAGGATGAGGGATGGTGGCTCCTGCCAGTTTCATGAATCAAACATGACCAAATCTTGTTATTTGCAGTTTCCTCCTTCTGGTTTCTTTTGTGCACACATGTGCGCGGTTTATTTTATTTTTTCTTTTTCTGTTAGTTAGAAAAGTTGGTCTTTCCCAAAAAAATAAAAAATAAAATAAAGTAATGGAAAACTGAAAAAAAAGGGTTCGTATTTTGGCACTGTTTGCGGCAGGTACACGTATGCATGAGAAAGTCATAAGCTTTTGAGTGCCTGCCACTTTGCTCTAAGCCTTTAAAGCGCAGAATTTCCACCTGTGCTCTAGCTGAGCTGCGGTTCTGCAGCGGTTTCTTACGTTTAATTGCAAGGCCCATAAATTGAGTTAACATTTCTACCCTTTCTGCAGCTCGGCAAGCGGGCTCAATTTAAAATCGCCTGAGGTACGGCGCTCTTATCACAAGTGCTTCGAGTCATGGTGATGCCTACTTGATTGATTGATTAGCTAGTTAATTGCCGCCATTTAGATTGATAAGATATGATCTCGGACCCAATGCCATTCAAATTTCTGGGAATCCTGTGTCCAATTGACAAATACTTTTGGGACAACGACGACCCTTTTATTCATTCAAAAGTAAAAGGAGTCCCATAAATGAGCGCATGAATGAATGAATGGTTATTTATTTGTACAAAGGGACACAAAGTGAACCCTCTAAACCGAAAGCAAATGGTAAGCAAATGTCAGGCGAGTGAAACGAACAGTTTGACTGATATTGACAAAAGAAAATGCCACCACCCATCGCCCACCGCCCAATGTCCTGTAATAGGAATGAAACGTGAAGGAAAAACTCAAGTGGCTGACTTCTAAAGGAGTCGCGAGTGCTCCGCTTTCCCTTTGTTTACCCGCCTCCGTCTTGATTGTTTTTTTTTTGTTTTGTATTTTGCGTTTCTGTGTTTATACCCTGGCAGAAGGTAGGATACTTTTTAGCACAAATTTGCAGACCTTTCAGGGATATATGTGTCTAAGAAATGTGCAACTTTAATTCTTGTATCATTTAAAATATGAAAAAATGTAAATAAACTTTACACTATCAATATAAAAAGGATTGCTAAAAACCTTAAGACCGACAGGCTATAGTTAAAGGAAATCTACACTTTGCAGATTAGCAAGTGAATCTAAACTTCAGCCTTATGTCAACTGTCTTCCTTTTCTGTTTTTTATTTCTCTGCGGTGCTGCTGCTCGTCTTTTGAGCCGCACAAAAGACTCAATTAGGCGTTAGACAAAAGACAGCGGACAAAGCCATATGCAGCATGGCCCAGAAGTTGTCGCTAATTCGCGGACAAAAGGCAAAGGCAAAGGCGAAGGCGAGGAGGCCTCGGCGGGCTTAATCGATAGCAAAAGCAAAAGGAAACGATACGGAAAAACAAACTGACGATTGTCACGGACTGCCCGCCGCCCACGAGCCGCCCTGGTAGCTCTTGCCCCGTTGTCAAGGTAGGACCGCCCTGCGTATGCGTAATATTCAAGCCCTCACACGGGTCGTATGCGTAATGGGTCCAACATAAGCCAAGAAGGGAAACGTGCTGCTAATGTAAATATCATTCATACGTTACCGGCAAATCCGAAGCGGAGATGGAGGCGCCAGTCTGGCGAGCTGCAGGACGGCTCACTGCCGATGCTGCTGACACAATTTTCGCCGTTCTCGCAGAGCTGCAGCTGCAGATACACGCACACACCGAGCCACCAGATACAGATACAGATGCGGTACGAATACGGGTACGGATACGGATACGGATACAGATGCAAGGGGCGCACGGATACAGACACAGATGCACTGCTGTGTTGGCCGAATTTGCAGTTGAGCTTGCCACGGACCCGGAGGCTGTTGAACTGCAAGTCCTGCGAACCCTTTCCTTTTCTCCTCGGTTCCTTCCCTTGTTCGCTGTGTGTGTGTGTGTGTGTGGTTGCTGCTTCTTATGCCTTTTTCAGCTCTTTAGCCACTTTGGTGCACATTTTCATCTTCGCGTTGCCAAAAGTGAAAAGAGGCGGCCGGCGGTCAACGGTCAGAAAGCAGGTTCAAATGTCGGCGACCGCAGGCGCAGGTCCTGCCGCTGTATCTGTGTCTGTGTGCCTGTCCTCTGCGTGTGTGTGTGTGCACAACTTTCCCAAAAGTATGCAAAGATATTTAGCCTAGTTTCGGCTCTCCAACATCACTGCGGTTGTTTTTGTTCTCGCTGCAGTTTCCTTGCATTTTGCACTCAAAAATCATAGCTTTTTCTAGCCAATTATGTCCTCGAATATATTTCAAAATTTAAATATTTATGGAAGATCGTTTCACTATTTTGCATTATTACACTATTGCCGTTCGTTCTTGTTTTTGGGCTGTTGTTGTTGTTATAGCTCAACGCACAACAACAAACACACAGCGGTGTGTGTGCGTGTGTGTTCGTGTGTATCGTTGCTGAGTAGTAAAAATAGTAAAACGCTCGGCACTTAAAATAGGAGAAGCGCAGCAAAAAACCGTTTGCCGCTGCTTCTCTTCTATTGTTGTTGTTGTGGTTGTTGCTGTTGTTGCTATTGTTGGTATGGTTGTTGTGGTTGCTTTCGCCACTGCTGTGCTGCTGCTGCTGCTGCGTGGGGAAATCACGGGAGAAAACGCTACACGCTCGCACGCCGGGTAATGAAAGACTATAATGCCGCCGACTAGCGAGCTACTAACCGACTGCCATACTGCCCGAAAGCTTCCTAAAAGCGACGAGCCCACCCGAAGGGCTGACGAGAGCGGACGAGTCACTAGATAAGGCGAAGCCGAGTGCACAGGATAAGGAACGGAATGGCAATGGAACACCTGGCCAGGCGATAACAATTGCGCCGCACTCGCAAGTACTCTGGCTCTCTCCCGCTGTCACTCCTCCTGATTCCCCTGGCTAGTCCTCTCTTTCTCTCTCTCTCTCTCTCTGGGTGCAGTCTCAGCAGCGCATTTCAGTGGATGGGTGGGCGGTTGGAGCCCTCCCCCTCTTCCCCAGTTCAAACTACCTACAGCCCCCGACAGCCCCCGCTGTCTTAGACAAGCAAGCGCGTAAGTTTTTGACGCCCGTGTTAAGTCGGTTGGAAAAAAAAAAGTTGCTGCTGAGTCTTCACTATACTCTGCCACGGGGAAAGGTATATCTAAAATTAGTTACAAGTCAACCAAGCTTGAATTTAAAGGCAAAACATAATATTATATATACTTATACCTTACAAAAGATCGAACTATATTTGAGCTCCAAAATGTCCTCTATTAAAGTTACTAAAATCTGGGGTTCTCAAGTATATGATCTCGTCGTCATAAACCTAATTACCCTACATTTTAGTCCTTGGATAAAATCATAAACTTATGGGTAATATAAATTATAAAATGTAAATATATATTATTATTTATTAGTATAATTGATACTTATAAAGAAATAATAAAGTTATAAGGCTGGTTTCAAGCTGTTGATTGCAATGGCTTTTAAATATTAACATATATAATAAATATAATTAAAATACACATACAAACTACATTTTATTTAATTGTGGTAATAAGCTATAGTTAAGTCTATAAAACTGTATTGCTTTCCAAGTTACAAAAAAAAATATCAGACAAAGCTTATAAATTAAACCAACTTCAATCCAAAATTAAGTGATGAGTTTACTTTTACAGTAATAAATCTAACTCAATATAAAATACAAAAATATGACTTAGTTCAAGTTTACGTACACAAGTTAAACAAGCAAAAAACAATTATAATATTATATTTTATTTATTTTATTAACTTGTGTTTAAGCAGGGGAAAATACTTGCTTTCAATTTCATTACGATTGATTTCTTTTTACTCGTGTTTTATTGTAATCTTACAATAAAAAAATTCTGTGAATACATATTAACAACTAAGAATACACATATGAATTTTAAATTCTAAAGCAATTTTTATATACTAAGTTTGCTTAATTATATCAATAGGAGTATCAAAGTAAAAATTAGTATAAAAGAATAAATGAATAATAAAATGCAAATCTTTAATGAATTGTAAGTAAAATACCTTATTTATGTATTCCTCCTTTGAAATATCTCTCTTGAATAAATCTACAAATTATGTTTTATTAATATACATTAAATAGAACTCCTGATAACACCTTTGCTACTAAATAAAAAGGCTCTCTCCTTATCATTCCTCGATAAAATGACACCCTAGTTTCAGGTATTATCCTGATTAGGATGTATATGCCCGCTTGCTAAATTATAGGGCCATGGTTGTGCCTTCAAAAGGTAGGGTCCCACAAACAAGTGTTCCTCCTGCGTTAGCGCTGGCTCGGGCTTCTGCGTATGCGTTGAGGACGGGACCCCGACGGGCCGCGAACTGCGAACTGCGAGCTGTCGTAAAAATAAATAAGCAAAACGGAAATTAATAAGACCCAAATGTTGCCGCTGTCGCAGCGACGACCTCCCTGCCAGTGCCTGCCCCTGGGACCTGCTGCGACAATAGCAACGGCAACATCATAACCAGCGGCGGTGACGGTGAACAAGAAGCATACGGTGCATGCCATTGCTGTAAATACAGTCGCAAATACGTATACATGAACAAGTATTGTTGGTCCCGCACACCCGCACACACACTCCGAGGTATACTAGTGTGTGTGTGTGTGTTGGCAACCTTTTCCTGTCTTTGTATTTGGCTTCCATTTCTTTATATTCTTTTTTTTTGTTCGTGAGAGCCTTTTCTATTTGTATTCGTTACGGGCCTGAACTCATTCGGCAGGGGCGCACATGGGGCGTATGAGCAATATATTTATGTTTATAGCCTCGTTTCCAGTTTTGTGTGCAGGCATAAAAATGTCGCGATTTTTTTTCCTTCAAAGAAGACAATGAATTAATAGGCAGATGAATTCGTCTGACATGTTTGGAATATCAATAAAGATATTTACCGAATTGAATATTCAAAATATTGCAATTTAAGTAAGATACTTCCTCTTTATGAAAATGATTCGATTTTACTTTAATAAAAATACAATTGGGGGGGTTGTTTTTTTTTTTTAAGTTTTATTTATGTAGTTTTTTTATTTTAATCATTGTTTAAATCTACAAATACATTTACAGCGGAGGGCGAAAGAACAAAAAATTAAAAATGTTTACTCATTGTTTTGTTGTTACATGCAAATTTTTTACTTCTGCGTGTTGTTTCGACAAATTGGTTGTTGTTTGTTTTTTGTTTCAAGTTCTTGCTTTTACCATCAAACGTTTATATATTTTCTGCATTTGTTTATAAATATTTGTAGTCCGTATTATGCATTAGTTATCATTTTTTGTTTTGCTTTTTGTCCTCGTTTGGTTTCTGTTTTGCTTCGATCTCGTTCTCGTATTAGTTTAGTTTTGTTTCATATTCATCTCCGACACATCAGCATCCATCGATCAATATTATTAATTACTCAATATAATTTGTTAACAACTAATAATAATAATTTTGTTTAGTTTTTTTTTCATTTTCTTTCATAACTAACATGCCATAATTATCGTTATCTTCAATGCTAATGATCATCTTCACTAAGTTAGAAAACAAGACAGTTGGAAAACAAAAACAGCAGCGAATTCTAGAATTCTAGAACCGAGCTCGCTGCATGTCGGGGCGTATCTCTCTGCGTGGGTGTGACCGCCATCGAGCCGGACTTATCGGGGGTCCGAATATCGCCGCCTCTCGATAAGTTTTCACAGTTTTCAATTAGCCAGCGGGCGTATTGTCAGAACCACGCATTCGATAGCGACAATGCCGAGCTTTTCAATTTCAACAATTTCGTGGCCAACAATTTGACCGCTCAACCGTTCGTTACTGTCTCTGCGCGAGCGAGTGTGTTGTGTTGTGTGTGAGTGTGTGTGTGTTGTTGGGGGCGTGTGGGCGGGGAAAGCGATAAAAACAATGAAAAGAAAAAGTAAACACAATACTGCCTTGGGCTTGCCCCATTTTGGGGCGCTGTGCCGTGTAAAACTTACAAACATTTATTTTGTGGGCGTTTTTGTTTTTGTTTTCGTTTTTATTCATTCTGGGCTTAGGTATCGGTAACAGTATCGATATCGATAACGGGGGGTCATAGCCCCGCCGCATCGCTGCATCTGTCTTGGGCTTAAATGCACACAAAGCATAATATTGCATGTCAATTGGTTTAAAGGGTTTTAGTTATATAAACATTTAGTTGGTTTCTTTAGATTTTAACAAATTCTTTTGCAGATTCTTTGCCAGGTTGCCGAACGCGGGCATCTATCTATCGATCGGAGCCTTATTTCCGCATCCGCTCCGTTCCCGCTTCCGTTTCCGGCTGTTGGCCAAGACAGGCTCAACGGATCGCAGATCGATTTCGTTATGGTTTCAATTTTGGGTTTTTTTTTTTTGGTGTATTGTATAGCTCCATTTATGTAATCAAATTTTTTGTTTTCCATATAATATATGTGTGTATATATATATAAACAATTATATTCCTTGTTTCTTGTGGTTTTTCTGTTTATATATACTTCGTTTTGCTCTCATCTTTCCTCCTTTTTTCCGTTAAGCTGCGTTTTACACACACAAGTTTTGCAAATTAATTTATGCTTATTTGTTGTGGTTTGTTTTTTGTGGTTTTTATTGGGGGGTTTACTCTTCACGGCTTATTTGGTAACTACGCTAAGGGTTTTCATTGTTTTCTTTTCCGTATTTCCTTCTTTATTTACTTCGTTTTATAATTTCTCTAAACTTCTTACATACTTTGTCTCGTCATGCGTTGTGTATCGGTGTGTAGTGGTGTGTGGTATGTGTTTGTGAGTGTGTCTGTGCGAGTGTGAGTGGGTGTGTTTGTTGTGGTTTATTGTTTCAATAAGCTTCTGCTTAAATATTCTGTTTAGCCAGTTCTCGTTACGTTAATAATTTTACTAAAAACATTTTGTTTGTTGCTTAGTTACTGGTTGTTCTTGTTCTGGTTGTGATTGGTGTTGTTGCTTCGAAATTGTTTGCTCGCTTTTGTTTTGTTTTCATTTTATACTTTATTTAAATCTTATTTGTAGCTTTAATTTATAATTTAAATTTACTTAAACGTTTAAAATAATTATCGCTTGCATTTTGTTTCTCCTCGTTTACTTTAAATAATTAATTAAATTAAAAAATAAAATATATTGTAATATGTTCTTGCTGTAGCTATCGGTAGCTGTAGCTGTTCTTATTGCCGTTGCTGCTGCTGCCGCTGCTGCGGCACCTGCTGCTGCTACTGTGGTTGTTGTGTGGAGTTTGTGGTTCATAAACATTACTATTTGTTGCTCTTCATGGTTGTTTTTTTTAGGTGTTTGTGTGTGTGTGTCTGTGTGGGCATGTGTGTGTTTGGGAGTGTGGGAGTGTAGCAGTGTAGGTGTTTAATAGTATGTCTCCTGCTCCAACCAGCCACCGGGGTTGCGGCGCAAGTAGAAACGACGGGTCTCATCATAGATGAAGATGGCCAGCGCAAATGGAATAGCCGGGAACCACCAGACGAGTCTGTTTCAGAAGAAGTTAAATTAGATCGTCATTAAGAAAGGACTTTCCGGCACACTCACTTCAGGGGGTACATGCGCAGACCCTTCTCCATGCCCGGGCAGTACGAGAGGAACGCGGCCAGCACGGTTTCGAAAATGAGGCCAAAGTTCAAAGCCCAGTTACGCATGCCCTGCTGGAAGATGGAGTTGCGGCGCGTCTTGCAGATAATCAGATCAGCCCACTGCACAACCACAATCGAGATGAAGAAGGCCGTGTGGCAGGTGTACTCCAGGGTCTTGCGGTCACGGTAGGTCTAGTAAGGAAGCACATGAAATTGGATCAGTATAATGACTTTGAAATTTACCAAAGATACAGCCGACCTGGGATCTAGAACGCAGTGATACTAGCGGTAGAGAACCGTGGTCGAAATCTTACCCATTCCTGTCCATAGGAGTCAGTTAGATCGTTGACGGCCTTCGAGTCCCACATCTTACGAATGCCAAACAGTTTCTTGGGCAAGAAGCCGTTCTCAGCCATGATGACGAAGTACACAAAGAAGCCGGCGGCAGCTTGAATCATACCGATCTGTCCGTAGGCCATCGAAATCAACCTACATTAGTCAAGGGGCAAGGTGGGCAGGTCAGGGTGGAGATGGAGGAGAAATAGATAAAGCTCGTTAGATAACTCTCAAGGGTATGCAAAGGCATTTTCTTTTCTTTTTTTTTAGTTGTGTGGGGTTTCGTTTGTTTTCGGGACGCAAGACACTTCTCGTTACGGTTTGGCTAGCGGTAAAGTTTTTCGGGCATCGGACAAGGAGCATGCGCAACGGCTTGGCCAAGGTTTTTGTTTTTCATCGAACATCAAAGGTGGAAATTTCAGGTAGAAACAACAACAAATGCTTGAAATTAATCGGTAGAAGTTTTCACACACAGAAAGAACAGAAGGAAGGAGTATAACTTAAACATAAAACATTTAGGGAGCAACAAAAACCTTGCCCAAGGACCGCTGTCATCGTGTCCAGTCCTCGATCCGAGTACTAATCCGTACTCGGGGTTAGTTAGTTAGTTTGCAGTTAATGCCACTTTACCTTGAAGCTCTTTTTTATGGATTGTTTAAGCAATGAATGTTTATCGTTTAGATTTAATGGTGTTAGACTTTACTTTATACAGCGTGGATTGTGTCTGATCGAATCTCATTTGAATCTGAGTTTATTTTAGATTTTTTCGTTTGCATTAAGAGCGCGCAAAAGCAAATCGTACTATTTATACTGCTCAAGAAGCGTGAGGGCGCAGAATAGTTTGCATTTTGAACTGTTTGGCTTTCTTATATAGTTTCATTTCTTTTGCATTTGGATGTGGATATGGGAAGCAAAGTTATTGTTAATGCTAATTAAACATGCGACTAACTACGGGACATACATACATACATACAAACAAGACATTAAAGCGTGCCATTTACAAACTACTGCAGCTAGGATAGGCGAATGCAGCTCTACAACCTTTTCGTTTACTTACGTTTAACGAGGTTTCGATTAAACTCAACATAAAACATAAACGCAATTAAATTAAACTTACACTTAAACACAAACTTAAGATATGATAAACACGTAAGAGCATTGCACACATAAAAATTATAACCAAACTCCGCGTTGCCATTGTAGATACTTCGTTGACCTATGCAAGGACTTTGAGAACAGAACCATCTCCCCCCTTGAAATCAGACTTACCGCGACTTGGCACTGGGAACCAGATACTGGTCAGAGTCTGTATATAGTAGATATGGCTATATAACGATCATGAGGTGTATCTAGAACACAACTGAAGCGATTTTTCGTTTTGTCTTTTGGCTCGAACAAACTCAACTACAAGTAACGCACTAACTGGTCTAAGAGTAACGGCAGAAGCTTCGATTTTGTGGTTTTTTAATCAGTCTTTTGCTTGTCTCTGTTTGTTTGTTGTGTGTTTGAGTGGTGTGTGTTTCTTTAAGTGTATTTTGTATCTTATGCAGGCGAGCGTTGGGAGCGAGCGTTTTTCTTTGAACTAACTTTGCCAAGTTCTCTAGAAGCAGCTGTTTCATTTTTGAGGCACTACTACTGTTTGCACAACAGACAATTTTTAAAGTGGAATCTTGTTCCCGAATAAATGTATGAGAGAAACACACACACGATAAATCTGTGTACGGATCAAAGATTGTTGTGCGAGTAACACAACACAAAGTTTTTGTAACACTTAAAGTAAGGGATTCAAGTGGGGGGACACAAAAAGAGGGGGTTATCCATCTTAAAATCAAATGTTTATAAAAATATTTGGGTTTTCGAAAGTATATAAATATAACAATAGAAGTGGTGGTATCAAATAGGTAAATTTCTTTAGATTTTTTGTTTTGTTTTCGAAAGAGCTATGATAAAGATAATTTCATTCCACATTGAGAGTTTCAGAACGGAAACGGAAATCATAAGGAAGGAAAGACAGGTCACATAGAAACAGGAGATAAAGGAAACTATGTGAAACACAAAACAGTAGAGAAAATAGTTGTTGTTGGTTTTTTTTATAGATTTTGTAAGTGTGGGAAATTGGTTTTAAAACAAAGAAAAACGCAGAAACGCATCAGCAAACGAACAAACAGTCGCAAAAGTTTCTGAATGAAATTTGGAATTTAGCATTCGATTAATTGGTTGATAGTCTGATTGGGAATCGATTGATCTATTGCCTGATTGTTGGCCAAATTACGATGCAAGAAACGCGCGACCACAACACATCAAACAAAGTTCAAAATTTGACAAAAGTAAAAGATGGTTGCATGTTTGTTCATTTTCTAGTTCTCAACTAATCAACTAAAAGATGGTTAACACTTGGATATTGTTTGGATTTTGGTTTTTTGTATATTTTTTGTTTTTTGTTTTTTATAAAACCTTAGCGTTAAGTTTTTCCTGACCTGCGGTTCACCAAGTTGTCGCGATACGGATCTCTCGGCTGACGCTTCATAATATCGCTCTCGGCTTGCTCGTAAGCGAGTGAAATGGCCGGAATCTTGCGTTTTATGGCATTTATAATGATTATATTGATAGTTCAGTTATCGGTATTTGTGCAAGTTGCAAGTTTGTTAGTTGGTTTGTTTGATAATCAAAAGAAAGACATAACAAGAGTTGAAAGAATGTAGGGAAATACAAAAGGAAAATCTGATTAAAGTTTACAAATATATATGTAATATAATTTGTATAAAAGAGTTTTTTTTTTATAAATATGCTTGCGGGCGAATAATAAATACTTGTTCTTTATACGCTAATTAATATTCACTAATAGATCGTAACAGATAGACAGAGTAGTTTTTGGGTTTTGGGTGGGTATTGGTTGGGGGGGACCAGGGTCCCCTCATGTGGCATGTTGAATGTTGCATCTTAGCTCCCGCGTACTTACGAAGCTAAGACTAGTTAAGGCTAGGGCAGAAGAGCATAGAACATGGAGCACGGAGAGCGCCCAGTAACAGTAGAGTCGCTATATAGTATGTATATATAGTAAACAGTAGGTAGGGGTAGTTGGATGGGCAGTTATAGTAAGTAATAGTTGTGGGTTTTATGCGAATGTTCCGAGCTTAATTTGCGCTTAATTGATTTAAAATTATCATTATTAATACTAGGGGACAATTTTCGTGTGGTTTTGATCGGTTTCGAGGGGGTTGGTGTGGCTACAACTCAAAAGGAGACCGTTCAATAATGAATGACTGATGGGGGCAAAACTCTGGGCTGACTGACTGATTGAGAGAATGTGCTGAATGAGTCGATATATAAGTCTAAATTGGAAGTAAGAAGGTCGTGAATGAAGTGATGCCGAAATCGAAAGTTTTCTACCGATAATAATAGTTAGCATAAGTAGAAACGTACATGTTCGATACAATTTACAGACTCACTAAGTTAACAATAGGCCTGCTTGCTCTAGCATAGAGTTAAGTACTAATGTGGAAGAGTTTCGAGTCGGAGTCTATGTTTTATCCCAGAAAAATAGCTTAGAGATGTACAGGAATTCCCCTCAGCTTTCGGGGAATCACCAAGATGGTCGTCACTTACCTTCGCACCGCAAAAACCAAAGATCTTCAAAAGTAAACGAAGAACATAGATCTGTAGAAGCTCTACAGTAGAACATAAGTTCAAATAAATCAAATTACATCGAGGGATACAAATAAAGAATGTAAGATTATCAAAAAACCAAAAGTTCAGAGGTCACACAAAAGAGATTTAAAGGCGCACAATGCGACTTTATTGTAGAAGAGAGGAGAAAATGTGGAAAAGAGAGCGAAAGTTTTCAAAATATAAGCAGAGAAATAGAGGAAAAAATAACTGATTTAATGACCAACGAGGATAGATTCAAATGTACTCCTAATCGAGTGTTAACTTTCTATATAATCAAGTGCAAAATTTGTATGTCTGATACGTTGGCCGAGGTTCGGCATCTATCTCCATCATCAAGTAAGTACTTAGAAAGAGTTTGCAAAAAACCTATAGAGATTATATATAAGAATATGTAGCTATGGATATGTAGTTGTTAATACGAATACATTTATCAGCGTAAGAAAAACTTGATATATATTGCATTATTGCAAAAACATAACGAAAATCAATCAAATGGCATACATATTTGACTCAAATATACTAAAATCAATAGATATTAAACAATAATAACTTAATCGGGTAATCGGGTTTCTTTATAGAGAATACATTGTATTTGACAGTCGCTGGACCCTCTTCCAGCCCAGTGAGTGTGTGCTTAGGGAATAGCTTACAAAAAATCCTCTAAGAAAACGCCTCGAATCGAGAACAATGTTATATAGATGGTAAACTAAATGGTACTTCGTACTATCTGAATGTAATTTATCAGAGAAGAAGAATCACTAGGAGAATCTGAAGAAGAATAATGAGGTAAAATGAGGAAACACTTAACAAAAGTTGAACGAAAAGCTACCAAATCATACATGGAACATAAACATGAATAATAACACTGGTGGACTTATATCCAAATAATCAACATTCAACCAAGGAATACTTAAGCTAGGTTTAGTTAGTATATCGAAAGACAGAGATATAGCGGATAATATAGAGAGAAATAGGAGTAAAATGATTTCAATTTCATTGACTTGTAGGTAGAAAGAAAGCGTTCTTTATTTGATTTTAGCTTGCTTTAAAATCTTTGGCCGTCCAAAGTTCGAATTCAAAGTTAATGGTACTCAATTTGCTTTTAGTTGCGTGACAAAAAAGAAAGACTTATTTGGTGGTTCATAGAGTTGCAGAAGAGGCGTTCGGATATGTGTCTTTATACTTCTTTTCTTTTAAATATATTATAAGAATAAAATCGGTTCTTGCTGTTGTTGTTTGATTGTTCTGGTAATTGTTCTTGTATTTGATTGTAGACCATCAGAGAGAGAGAGAGATTTACCTTTCGTTGACCAGTTTATCTTGGAATGGATTCCTCGGCTGGCGTTTCATAATATCGGATTCAGCCGTCTCATAAGCTAAGGAAATGGCTGGCACCTAAACCCATACAAAACGAACGTTTTGTTGGTTTTTGGTTTTTTTTTCGGTTGTTGTTGGTAGTTGGTTGAGTGGAAAAAATAAATGAAATTAAATACGATAAATTATGGAAACATAAACTCATTCGTCCGCTTCTGCAAATGCTTCTGCCTTGCTTCAAAACATCTCACAAAAAACTCTGAAAATCCTTTGCTGAGCTGAGGGAACGACCGTTTGCTTGGCAAGGACAAGGGTTTCGGGTTTTTGTATATCTTAAACGATAAGTTCTATATAGTCTAGGGAGTCCCGCCCCTTACGTCTACCTTAGGCTGCTGCTGCAGAGACTTAAAAGGACAATAATCAATGCTTGAGGGGTGTGGAGTGACGAACAGAGTTAAACATAAGGCAATGATAAAGGCTCGAGTTAAATCATGAAATCATGAAAAATCAAATACTCTTGGTTTGGGTTGGTTAGTTGCTACGAATCGTGTGCAATTGGTAATTTTGATAATTTAAATTTTGCCAAATTTTACGAACTTAAAATCCATTTGCAAATGCCAATCAATTGTCTAATTCAAATAACGTCGAGTGGTGAATCTTACGGTTAACTCAGTGTTAGTTACACCACAAAACAAAAATGGTGATTGATATATTATTGTATGTTTTCTGACTTTATAAATATTTCAAATTTGTTTTGTATTTTGTGAGATAATAACGAAATACGACGCACACCAATTAACATTTAGAGCGTTCAGAAGATGGCAAATGAATTCGGCGGTATTCGTTTGGAATATTGATTGAATTGTACATGGAGTAAGTAGGATATGTGTGTATGTATACATGGGGCTTTAAAGATCGACGGGTTATGGGAGGGAGAAGTAATCGAAGTGTACAGATGAATGCATGATCGATATCTGTCACCAAATTTAATGGGAAACATATGCTACAGAGAGATGGGAAATCTGAGAGGAAAGCTGGTGGGTGGTGGGTTGAACGAGTGATGACATTCTTAAGAGTTAGTTGGGTTGTTTAGTAAACCATTAACGTGTCAACGGACTTGTTAGTTGTTTTGCACGCTTCTCGTTTAGGCCAAACTTATGCTAATTACAATCCAGCCACATACACATAAGACATATGCTATATTTATATGGTTTTTCTCTTGCTTTGCGCTTTTTCTTTAGTTCAGACTTTTGTCGCTTTTAGTGGTTGAGATTAGGTTGATTAGGTGGGTGAGTGGTGAGTGTGTGTGGTGTGTGTGTAGTGTGGATTAGTGTGGGGTAGAAATTGACTTGATTGGCACCTTGAATTCACTAATTTATCGTTGAAGGGGTCACGTGGCGGACGCTTCATAATATCGGCTTCGGCATGTTCGTAGGCCAATGAAATGGCTGGCACCTAAGTATTGGATTATGGCAGGTAGTTACATTAGCAACGGTTTACATCATTTTGAAATACAGCTCGGGGCTTGGCCTAGAGCTGGGGAGGGACAAGGGACAGAGAGCACTTAAACTACTCGGATTGCCTAGCACTGGCAATGGCATTGGCACTGGCACTGGCGATGATCGGTCACGAGTTGTTGCAAACTGCAACGGGGTTACCTCTCGTTGACCAGGTTATCGATCTCCGGATTGCGCGGCCGGCGCTTCATGATGTCCGCCTCGGGTCCCTCGTAGGCCAGTGATATGGCGGGAATCTGCTCGCCAGTTTGCATCGATTCACGGTTCAGAGTGTTCGTTAGAGACTAGTTCTTAACAGTAATTGGGTTGGGCTACAACTTTACATTTAACTTGCTCGACATATCGAGTTCGACTTAATTGCAACATTAACATAATAGACTTCAGCTTGGAGTGGGTTTTCGAAACTTACCATGTCAGTTCCCAGATCGATGCACAGAATCGTGACGGTTCCCAGTGGCAGTGGTATGTCGCAGAGGATGAAAGCCAGGAAGGGCGAGATTTCGGGAATGTTGGAGGTCAGGGTGTAAGCAATGGATTTCTTCAGGTTATCGAAGATCAGGCGACCCTCCTCCACACCAGTCACAATGGAGGCGAAGTTATCGTCCAACAGAATCATGTCAGCAGCCTGCACAGGAGCACAAAGTTAGATTACATATTCATAGTAGACTTAAGACAATATCAACTCCATATTGGGCCATCCTTATAAGTGTTTCTCGACCCACTTACTAGAAGACTTTCACAGAAACCAAAAATACATGAGGTCAGATGATTACACAAAGAAAAAATCCACAGTTTTAAACACACTATTTGTAAATCCCACAGATAAATCCTTTCTAAGGTACTCACTTCGATTAAAGGGGCGTAAAAAATATTTAAATAATATCTTGGGTTATTAATACATGAACATATCACTTGAAAGAATGCAAAAGTTGATGTGAAAATAATGTTCCTAATTGATGACCAATTTTGGTGATATTTGTACAGGATAATCAAAACTATTAATTGACTTACCTGCTTGGACACATCGGAGCCGGCGATACCCATGGCAACACCAATATCAGCCTTCTTCAGAGCCGGAGAATCGTTGACACCATCACCAGTCACGGCCACAATGGCACCCATGCGCTGGCAACCCTCGACAATGATCAGCTTCTGTTGGGGCGAGGTACGGGCAAAGACGATTTCGGTGTGGTAACGCAGGATCTCATCCAGCTGGTCGCTGGACACATCACGCAGCTCGGCGCCATGGACGACGGCGGCCTTGGCCTCGCGGGGGTTCACCTCGGAGATGGGGATATTCAGGCGCTGGGCAATGTCCTCGACGGTCTCGTTGCCCTCGGAGATGATGCCGACGGACTTGGCAATGGCCTTGGCAGTGATCGGGTGATCGCCGGTAACCATGATGACCTTGATACCGGCCGAGCGGCACTTGGCCACAGCATCGGGCACGGCGGCACGGGGAGGATCAATCATGGACATGAGGCCGACGAAGCGCAGGTTATCGATGGGGAAGTTAATGTCGTCGGTGTTGAACTTGAAACCGGAGGGATACTTGTCGGAGGGCAGCATAAAGTCGCAGAAGCCGAGCACACGCTCACCCAGACCTCCGAGTTCCATGTAGGCATTGTTGAACGCCTCCTTCATCTCCTCGTCCAGGACCTTCTCCTTGCCGTTGATGAAGATGGTGGAGCAGCGCTCCAGGATGCGCTCGGGGGCTCCCTTCATGACGAGCAGGAAGCGGGGATCGTTGGAGTCATCGGTCTCATGGATGGATACTTGGTATTTGTTGGTGGAGTTGAATGGCACCTCAGCAATCTTGCGGTTACGCTTGCGAATATTCATAACGTCGCCCAGAGCCAGTTCCATGCACTTGAGCAGAGCAGCCTCGGAGGCATCTCCGCTAACCTCCTTCTTGAGAATGGGCACACCGTCCTGGCCGCCCTTGAACTCGGCACGGTTACAGAGAGTGGCAATGCGAGAGAGCGCCTTGAATCCAGGGCTGGTTCTATCGTATTGAACACCCGACTGATCCTCGGTGGTGTCGGCTTCGATGATTTGGTTATCGAACCACATGTGAGCAACCGTCATTCGGTTCTGGGTGAGGGTGCCGGTCTTATCGGAGCAGATGGTCGAGGTGGAGCCAAGGGTTTCCACGGCCTCCAGATTCTTTACCAGGCAGTTCTTGGATGCCATGCGCTTGGCGGTGAGGGTCAGGCACACGGTGACAGTGGCCAGCAGACCTTCGGGCACGTTGGCGACGATGATGCCGATCAGGAAGATGACGGCGTCCAGCCAGTGGTAGCCCAAAATGAAGGCAATCACGAAGAAGGTGACGCCCAGGAACACGGCCACGCCGGTAATCAGATGGATGAAATGATGAATTTCCTTAGCAATGGGCGTCTCGCCGGTGTCCAGACCGGAGGCGAGGCCAGCAATGCGACCCATGACAGTGTGGTCGCCGCAGCTAATGACCACACCCTTGGCAGTGCCCTCGACGGCGTTGGTGGAGAAGAAGGCCAGATTCTTGGTCTCCAGAGGATTCTCATGGGTGAACTCGGCGCCACGGGACTGCGGCTCCGACTCGCCGGTCAGCGACGAGTTGTCCACCTTGAAGGTGCGCGCCTCGATAATGCGGATATCAGCGGGGATACGGTCGCCGAACTTCACCTCAACGACATCGCCCAGAACGAGATCCTCAGCGCGCAGCGTGAGTTTCTCGCCCTCGCGGATGACGGTGGCGAACTGGGGTACCATGTTCTTGAACGATTCCATGATCTTTGAACTTTTCGATTCCTGCAGGACACAAAAGCACACCTCTATTAGTTAGCAATCGTTATAAGGAAGGATCTTGAAGGGAAACGCACCTGATAGTATGAGAAAATGCCCGTCACAATGACGACAGCGGAAAGTACAATACCCAGATACAAATTATCGTCGGCCGGCTCCTCGCTGGTGCTGGCCTGGATCGAATAGGCCACGAAGCAGAGAATAGCACCGATCCACAGCAACATGGCGAAGCCACCGAACAGATTCTTACAGAACTTCACCCACTCGGGTGTCTGCTTTGGTGGCGTCAGCGCATTGGGACCATCGCGCTCCAAGTTCTCCTTGGCCTTGGCGTGACTTAGACCCTGTTTGGGGAGATTGATCCATAGGTCATACATAGTTCAAGGTAGTCAAAGCTAGATGGTTACTCACATTCTCGGGATGTGTCTGAAAGCGCTGATACAATTCCTCAGGAGAGATTTTATGATGGTCGATATCCAACTCCTGTTTGAGATCATCCAAATTCTCTTTCTTAGCTGCTTTGGCCGGCATCTTGCGTCTTGACTGTTTTCAATTCAAAAACGGGAAATACATTAGTTGATGAAGTCTTAGGATGGGCAACAGCAGCAGACCCATAACCCGACACGAGGTGCGATTTACTTCATGCCTTTGGTAAAAGACCCGGAGATTAGACGCAGAAGAGTGTTTAATTAATATTCGAGAGTGTGGTTGTAATTTGTTAGGGGAGTTAAGAGATAGAGAGTAGAGATCGATACCCAATACACCAGTTAGGGATAGATTAGAGTTATTACCAGAGCCCAGGAGGGCACTTACCCAATTCTAATTAATACTTAGTGCTACTCGGGGTAGAACCCATTCCGAAATGAGCTCGAGCGTGAGAATATTTGAAACAACCGACCGCTCTATAGCTTTGGTAATCTAAGGCATGCAAAATGCGCGCTAAATTACGCTCTCTGATCGTAACGAGAAGAGCACGTAAATGAATTGAGGTGCACAAAACACAAAGCGACAGGCAATTATACAAACAGATATATGTATATATTACGTGGGTATTGAAAGCAAAAAGAAATTCAAAGGAAAAACTAGCGGAAAAAAAGAGTGAATGAAAATTAACTTTTGCCTAGATATATCTCGTACATATTTACTATGCACTGGCTGACCTCGGGAGCCTTCGCATTGGCCAAAAAGAACCGAAATAAAATAAAATGGATTTAGATATATTATATTATATATAGACTAAGCAGCTGTCTAGTGTCTGGCATTCTATCTTTAACAGTGTCTATAAGTGTATTTCTTTTTATTTCTTTATTTTTTTGTTAAGAAGCACGCGCAATGCCTTTTGGCTCTTCTGACGTCACTGTTTGGGGTTGCCATGCAATCAAGGCGAAACAAATAAAAAAACAAAAAAACAAACAACTCAAAGTATTGGTCATTTTGGAAATTTTTGGAAAGCCGGCTAAAAAACTGTTTGTATAAATTCAAGAAAAAGAAAAACATTTGATATAGAAATAAATTATACTCGAGTGGGTTTAGATGATGGAAAATATATATATATATATATTGGGAAAATCGAAAATTGCCATATTTATGGCATTATTATTGGCCACGGTTATAGGTACATATTGAAAATGGTATTTATAGCCCCTGTAAACATTTCGGTGACTCTCTCTAAATGTCAACCGCACTCGGCAAATGCCATTTTGGATGCATGCCCAAACAACACACAAGAAATATAATAAATAATAAGTGCAATTAGATGAGATGGTGGAAAAAGGGGAAAATTGTTGGGAAATGGGAATGGGTTAGTAAGGCGCATAAAATCGAAAGGCAAAGGCAGAATGTGAAAAGTGAAATACATAAATAGGGCGGCGAATGGAAGAAACATATACGAACATAACTTAATGTGTGCGAGTGCGAGTGAGGAAAATTCGATTTACCTTGTAGTGACCATCGGCTGTGCGATTGTCGTCATCGGTGGCTATAACCGTGGCGACTCGATAGGAGTCCGCTCTCCCATGCTACGCGCACAGAGGGTTTCGATTCGGTTTCAATATCGGGTGGATTGTAGGGGGTGGTGGTTTGATTGATGATGTCGATGATGGGCGAACAGAACGAACAAACACGGATATAAACGGGAAGAAATACAAATCAAAAATCGAAACAAAACGAAAGGCGAGCGTACCAAAAAATAAATATGCAAAAGACGTAAACTATATACTATGGTAGGTAGCACTAAGACTAAGATACAAAATGGCTTTGATAAAGTGATAAATGGTACAATAATAATTGAATTATTTAGAAATGCTAAATATTATATTGAACATGCTAATCACCTTCTTTAACACTTTATCGTAAATATAAAAATATACATATGATAAATCAAAAATATAATATGGATGCGTAAAGTAATTATAAATGTATATAGGTTTATGATAGACATAACTATGAATGTAATGCAATGTAATACTAATCTTTTGGATACTTTGTGGGTTTTCGAGGTTTATTCATTGCCTAGCAACCCCTTGATTGTTTTGATGATTCAGCACAAATGAGGGGGGTGGATTTGGGGAAAGTTTTCAAGGCTGCTGGCTAAGGACAATGAATCATATGTTATACATAGAATTCCAATAGGAGGTAGCCAAGATTCGACCCTGCCGCAGATCGGAGAGCGTTATCTGCATTGCGTTCTGACTCATTAATGGTGAGCTTCATTATTATTATTATTTTAAAAACAAACAAAAACATGCGAGTGGAGAGAGCGCACCCATCAGCGTCAGCGAAGAGGCAACTCAAAAGATATGCAATATAAACACTAGACTTCGCTCTGTTTGGCCGTGCAAAAGCGAGGAGCCGAAAGAAATCAAATCAAATTAATTAAAAATACACAAGACTCGAGAGAAATGTGTGTATGTGTGTGTATGCTAATAAACTTGTGGGAGAGGGGAAAACCTGTCGCACTCACATGGCAGCCAACTTACGGCTATATTCGATTTTATTCGAGAATCTTACGCTTTGTTTGGCTTTGCGTTTCGCGGCCTGGCGTTTCAAGATTTATTTATTTTCATTATACTATATTATGTATATATATATTTATGTATATATGTGCTTTTGCTTTTCGGACATTTGGTTCAATTGGGAACGCGACGCGCCAGCATGAAATAGATCGAGAATCGTGCCCGAAAGGTTCTCTACTTTTGTTGTTTTTGGCTTACGCACTGTGGCTAGTGTTCAAACGTTTTCGTATCTCTTAGCTCTGCGTCCCTGTAGTCGCTCTCTCACTTTTAAGATCCTCCCTCAAGTGCTAGACAATCTGAAGGCATTCGATGTGGTTAAAATAGAGTTAAGATATTAAATATAGTTCGAGTCTGGCTTAGAGTAACTTAAGCTTAATTGCTAAGCCTGCCTGAGAGTGTGCAAACAATTGTTAACCGTGACTTTGTCTTTGGATGGAAGCGGAAAAGCGGGTGGCTTTCCCACAATGGCGCTAATTTTGATTTTCCTATACAAATTAATTCAACTTAATCGCGCTTTTCATGCTTCAATTGATACGAAACAATGCCAAGTGGCACACAGCATGTGGAGGAAACAAGGGTACGGGTACGGGTCTGGGTCTGGGGTCCAGGATGGAGATCGAGGCGATATATATAAATCAAAATGCGACAATGGCTTGCTGGCCGGCCACAGCACAGAAAAGCTTACATAAGTCCGCGAATGGAAATGGAAAATAGCAAACGGCGAACGGCAAGCAGCGAACTGCGAACTGCGAACTGCCAGATACTGGCTTCTGACGAGCCAATTAGGCAAACAGATACAAATGTATCTGTGGCTGCGCTCCAGCTGCTTTTCCCCACCGCTAAAACGGTTCGCGCACATTTCGCTGCAAACCATTTGGCATTTGAACTTGAATATCAATTTACAACAACCCGACAACGCCGAGGAGGAAGAGCGGCGCACAGAATTGACGCGCTAATTGTTCAATCAATGCAAAAGTATCTGGGAAACGTGTAAAGCTGCGGGCGTAGCCAAAAACGAGCAATTGTCACCGCCAAGCCACATCGCTTTCGCTTGAAGGTGCATAAGCCGGCAGGTGAGTGCAAGTTCGGTTTGAACCAGTTTGAAACCAGATTTGAGCGGCTCAACCTTACAGGTGATCAAGGGAATTTTACAACGCTTACAAATATTTAATTGAATGAGATACAAGTATCTTAAGTTTGAAAAGATTAATAAAGCTTTCTACGAGTTCAGATTTGAAAAGATACATATGTTTGGGCATGGGATACATATTTTTAAAGGATTATAATAGAACTCTAGATTGTTTTTCCCTCAGTGTTCTGAGGTGTCTGACTCGAATACCAATACCTAGACTGTTTGTCTAGGCTTGTTTTCCTCGAGCAGCCGAAAAAATCAAAATAAAAAAAATTCCAATGAGAAACCAGTTTTGATGCATGATAACAGATCGTGCCTTGGTATCGAGATGCATTTTCTCCCGTCCCGTATCTATCTATCTTCGAACTCGACTTGTTTTTGTGAACCCCAGACACACAGATACCGCTCCTCCACGTCTAGAATCCGGGCGGGCTTGACTCGCTAATGATCTCAGCTCCCGGAGCGTTCAATTTAAACATTATTAACAATTCCCCGCTAATTATTTACTTAATTTTCGCACGTTTTGCATGCTCTGTTTGAAGAGACCCACACCAGCCTCCCCATAGGGCGGTTCTTCTGTACCGATATTTTACGGCACGCTTTGTTACCGGAGTCCTCCCAAAGGGCGGTCGTAATTGCAATATGTTACGCAATCCAGACTTGGGATTAGATGAACTTCAAAGGTTAATGTAGCTTATATTAATCATGCCCAATGCCAGTCAGTGTAAATTATGAATGATTGAGGTAAATACGTAAATAAAATGAGGTGTTCCTCAGCTGGTCAGCTTTGATTACCCACCTGAGCACTCATAATGTCTGTGGACTCTTGTTTAAACTTATTAGAGGCAAGACAGTGAAACGATGAATAAACGAAAATGCAAACGTAGACGGCGTGTGCAAATATAAAACACGATGAACAAGTAACAACGGAATAAAATAAGATAAAACAAAGCAACTGAAAATATATGCAAAAAGTAAGGGAAAAGAAAAAGAAGTCGGTTAATATGGTTCGGGCTTATGCAACAATCCGCAAGATACGCGGGCGCTGGAAGGACGAGGCGGTTGGAGCAGCAAGTGGACCGCTGGAAGGGCACGGAGTCACGGGAAAGTGGAAGTCCACATGGAAGTGTGGAAATGCAGGCTGGCTGCAGTTTCCAGGATGTCGAGTAACAACGGCACATGGCAAGTCAAGAGAGCGCCAGAGAGAGATACGTAGAGAGAGGACGGACGCCAAAGAGAAAGCGCGAGCTTGATGGTAAACAGCGCAGTGGGAGAGAATACCGTTAGAGGCGCAAGTTCGAAGAGTGGCCAGGAAAAGTGCTCGAACTTTTCCAAGACTTTTTCGCGCTCCTGCTCTCCGTCCCTCTTTTCCTTCCACTATGCCACTCTGGCGGCACTATATGTGCTGTGGAATTATGAAATCGCCAAGCGGGGGGCCAAATCCATACCCACTCATTCGTGTGGGGTGGCCAGGAAATTACTGCCATTCCAAAATGTAAATCGCGTCAATTGAATCTAAACGATTTCATTGCCACAAAAAGTACGTCAGACGGACAGAACGGAACAGAGCGGGAGGATGGCTAGATGAAAGAGACGTGGAGGAAGCGGACGGATAAAGAGACGGACATATGAACGCCAAATTGAATGCCAAATCAAAAGGACGGAAAAATATTATTTCTGCAGATGAAAATCTCTGTGCCACACACATACACATACACAAACACATAAAAGCACTCGCACTCTTACGCTGCGGCAAAGTATTGTCAAAATTGTTGAAAATGCATATTTTTTTCACTTTGCCAATTTTTCAATCCGAAAAAAACGTCCCAAGCACACTCACACACACACTGTTCATAATGTTTCGATCCCCGCTCTCTCTCTTTTAGGCTGGTCACAAATACAAGTGTATATATCCATTACGCCAGGCATGAAGTTTTGGAAAAATCGATTCCGTACAAGGACGTTGCCGTTTTTCCTCAAAGCCCCTAGTGGGGCGGGCGGTGGGTCGGTGGGCGCTGCAGTTGAGCGGACATGGAAAGTTCTTGGTTTTTTTTTTTATGTATTTTCTTGCTTTTTTCTACCTTTTACACGTTCGGGTGCTATTACACAATTTTTGCGCTTGGCGTTGCGAATTCTGTTTTGGGGGCTTTCGCAGAAAACTACCCCGTTAGCAGCAGTATTGAACTTGTTTTCAGCACTAGAACCGAATCGCGTTGGAACGGGACAACGAATACTGATCACACACGGTCGCTTTGCTACGGCTAGGCTATTATGTGTTCCTTCCTTTCCGTCGAACGAGCGTTCGAGTTAGTCCTGCTGCTTCCTCTTCTCGCTGGACCCAATCGATGCACAGTTATTGTGTAAGCAGAGCAGCGGAGCACACACCAGCGCCGGGGGAACGGGCGGGCGGGCAGGCGGGGAGCAGAGCTGTACTGTACCACCCGACAAAGAGACGAGAGAGCTGCTGCTACAGTTGGACTTTCCCAGTTCAGATTCACCGTTCGACTGAAACTTTTCGGCGCGCCGCGAGTGGTTAAGCTTTCTCGGATAGAACGTTCTGTCGACGTCGGCGCTCCGCTGCGCCGCTGGGAGAGCTTTCGCCAGCAGATGTTACACCCGCTCGCTCTCTGTTCGGCCCCCAAACTGCCCTCGCCCGGCTCCCCTGAGCCGTCTCCACCGCCTGTGAAAAGTGCACGGTTGCCGAGAGCTTTCCAGCCGAAAAATCTATGGCAGTGTGACAAGTGAGGCAGGCAATGGGCGACAGGAGAGGGAAGAGGCGCCCGGAGCGGGCGGAGAGCTCTTCGAAACTGGAGCAGCACAAGAGGGGGCGGCGGACGAGAGCGCCGCTCAGGGGTTGGCTGCGCAGCTCAAAGCAGCGGAATGTATGTCAGTTGAAGCGCGGGTGAGGGTGAGGGGGTGGCGGCTTTTGTGGAGCCAACGAGACTGAGAGAGAGAGAGAGCGTAAGAGACAAAGAAAGAGAGCGTGCCAAAGGGGGAGAAAAAAATCTACATAAATTGTATAACGAAAACAAAGCGTTCGAGTTCGAGTTTGGGTTTGATAAAAAGGGCAGGCCAAGACAGCTTTGGCATTTGGGAATGTCGCCTTATCGAGCCCTCGCATGACGTCACTTCAGGCAAACCCCAATCCGCAACCCCCTCAATTATTCAGACTCCGACTCAACATCCAGTCGGATGGACAACCCCCGGGGCCAAGTGGAAAACCTCCCCGCAGTAGCAGTAAATCAATGTGGCTCGTTAACAGAAGCACAGTTCCATATTTAATAATGATAAGCGAAGCTCCCAAAGTCCAGAGAATATAGAAATACACTTTCCCTGCTTACTTAACACATCCTAGAAAGTTGGGCTGGGGGGCGGGCCTAAAAGGACACCACTGCCGGCTTAAGGACTCGAGAAATTTTCTATTTGGACCTTGAGTCTATTTTCAGGCTCAAGTAACTCGAGTTTAATTACACGTAATGTCGCCAACACAGTTACAAGGAAAACTCACATGGATACGCACTTGGCCACCAAGTAATGCACAGGAAAAAATATATATTTAATTGTGGAAATAACCTTTTAATGTATTCCATATCTAAACAAATGTTAGTCGATTAATAATCAATGTTTATAATACTAAAATATCAAAATTGGGCCTATATTATGCTTAATTTTAGAAGGGTTCAACCCTAATTTCGAATTGTAACTTTATATTAACATTAATATTTTATATAGAAATCCATTTGAGACTCTTACATTAAAAATGTAGGATCTCAATATTAAAAATACTCCACTGATAAGGTTCCTTTTAATTTAATTTCCCATTATGTATAAGGTATAAAGTTAAAACAATATTTGGAATCATAAAATGTGTAATATGTATTCATGGACAGTTGTCAGTTTAAGTAAATCGTGCATGTTTTCGCTCTGTGCAGAAAAATACCACCGGAAAATCAATAGAAGACATCGTGCCAGCAAAAAAGGCAGTGGAAAAACTTTCTGTCTATTTGATTCGAAACCGAGGGTTGGCTCCCCTATCGATCCACTTGGCCCATCAGATTTCAGGCCGGAATAGTGCCCGTTTTATCAACTTATCCAATCGCATGTGATATCCGCCAAATGAGTGTCTCGGCCAGATGAACTCTGACTCAATTTGTGGGTCATCATCCACAGGAGACCAAGGGACTGCGGGGCGAGGGGGGAAAAATAAATAAACAAATGCTAAGTTAAGTGACCGTTCTAGCCAGTTGTGGGTCGCCAAGAGTTCTGGCCTAAAACAAAGTTATGTAATGGCACGTCAAAAAACACTTGGCAACCGGAATGCCTGAGTTGAGATACATAGATAATGTTATAGACTTTTGTTCAGATATCGTAGCGGTGACCCATAGATATCTACAGAAAATATATACATTTTTATATACAAATGTATGTGTGAATCAACTTGTTTCACTTCCTTAATGGGAGTAACGTCAGAGCTCGACCAATGAGTTCACCTGACAAATGGTCAACTGACAAGGGCTTCCTCGGTCAAACCTGTGCGTCCTATATATCGAGTCGGCCATCATCGATCAGTCAGTCTGAGATATTCGCTCTAAACAGCTCAATTTGGGTGTTACACCTGTCACGGCCACGCCCCCGCCACGTGTCGGCCCCCCCTTTTGGCCTGGGAAACACCAAATGCCAGCATGCTGAAAAATCAATATGCAAATTATGGCTGCGGCCTAGAGCGGCGGTTGTCTCGGCTTGGCCAGAACCGAAAGGGTCTATTCCCCGGGCAGTTATAACTTTTAGGCAAAATCAATAAGCGGAGCGACGCTGATGACTTTACCAATTTGCATGGTGTCAAAGTCAACAAGCCACTGCCGCAGTTCGAGCCACAATCTGAATCTAGATCGAGCCAGAGTACTCTAAGTTTTCCCCCAAAACGACAGAGGAACGTCTTGAAACTGATTATTATTATATTCAAAATGTTAATTAAACAATCCTAGGAAATGATCAATATATGGTTAATCTCGTGATTAATGTTGTGGCTTAAAATTAAAAAAAAAATATCCTAATACCTCAATAAATGTATTAAAAGAATGATCCTTTTTAGGTTTCATGATATAATTGTTCTAGAAATGATTTTAATAATTTTGGAACTCAAATTCGGAATATTCTTTAGATAGACTTCAGATAGAGTTAGTTTAGGAAGCTTCACTTTAGTCGGTGGGAGTTGCATTCACACTTTTGCATTTGAAAAGGGAATGAGCGTGCAAGTTGGTTTGGCAGCCAGAAGCTAAAACTTTGGCCAGCCCGCTAATTGCCATTGGCAAGTGCAATCCCCCGAGGGCGGGGGAAGTCGACCAAGGAGTGGGCGGCGGACCTCGCTTCGGTTGCATAATGGCGTTCATGACCTGGGCCCTGGGCCAGAGCGGCGACACAAAATCAGAGACGGCGACAGAAAGTCCGGGATCGAGTGCAGCATAATCACTGCCATCATCACAAGTACCCCGATGTGCCAGGGAATGAGCCATAAAGCCGACAATGCTCTGTTGTACTTGAGCACTGATTAAAATGTGTATGACCCCCGTGCTCCGCCCAGCGTTTCCTTTGGCCCGCAGGGGTTCTCTTCTCGCCATGAATGGCCACATCTTGACAATGATTGTGCGAGGAGCTCATCGTGAAATAGTCCAAGTAAATGTATTTATTCCTGAGGAAGGTACAAGGTTTTTTTTGGTAGCTAGTAAAGGGTTTAAGTCGTGTTATAACTCACATGGCTTATATGCAATGACAGGTTCTTTAAGATATTAATGGACTTAACAATGAAATCTTCAAACTCAAGTCACGATAAGACATCGTGTAAACTCATTGCGTACCGAAAGTCAGAGTCCGTCTCTAGTTAGTCTATGATGCCATTCGAAACAATTTGTTCGTCGCTCCTCGTAGGCGTTTATGACAATAGATTTACGAGCATATCGTCTAATTTGCGCCATTCCCATTGTAAAGAAGCGACCGGCCATCCATCTCATATAGTAGTTAAAAAGATGAGAAAAGCCTTAGACGACGACCACAACGACCACGACAACGACAACGACCACGACAACGACAACGATGAAGGAAAGTCACTGGCATCTCTCGGCGGGCAGCATTGAATGAAATGCCCCGGAAAAAACCAATTGTTATTCCACGTTTAATTTAGTAGAGCAGCAATGGAAAGCATAAGCCTGTATATCTGGCATCGCCTTCCACCGACCCGACCACCTTGTGAATCCGATTTCATGGTTTGGTTTGCGGGAGCGGACAACAGCAGCTGACTGGGCTGCATCGTTGTGGGCGGGCACAGGTCTTGGATCCATCCCATCCCATCCCATCCCATCGCATCGCATCGCATCTCATAGATACGGATACGGACAGATACAGGCAGCGTTTGGCTTTGAGTTTCAGTTGGGTAATGCGAGCCGTCGGAGACCGCTCTCGCTCGTCCGAAAATGGAGCAATAAATTCTAATCAAAATTAAAATATACATAATAATAAAGTAAGCAAAAGCAGCTATCTAGTATAGTACGAGCATTTTCTATAGCCCATTCAGCGCGTGTGTGCACTTGTCATTGCCTGGAATCTGTCTCTCTATCCGACCAATTTGGTCGGCACAGAGGCGTTCTTGGGGGTTCTGGAGGTGGGAGGTGGTCCAATATGTTGGCCAAATGAGCTCTGCACAACGGGGGCTGAGATGTTACAGTCAGAGTGATTTGCCTAGTTTTCTTGCTAAATATATGTATATATTTATGGTACTCTCCGAGAGTCCTAAACAAGTTGCCAGTTCATCTCCATAAAGTCTGCTGATAGCAGAGCTTTTGTGGAAGCTGTAATGCTTGGAAACAAGTTTAAGGGATGGATGAGTAACTTTATAATCTTTATCAGTTACTTAGAGTAAGTAATATGCTTATTTTAAGCATATTTACTTCAGCAATATCATGGCAGGCATTTTCTAATCAAAATATAGAACACGCTTTACATAGCAAATTTTCTCCCCATAAAATATCTATATATCTTAATCAGTGCATACAAAACCGGTTAAGAATATCTCTAATAGAGCGACTAGTAATTTTAATTATAATGCCTTAGCATTTAAATAAATTAAGTTTTCTGATTCATACAGTTTTATATTCATAAAAACCTAATGATTCACAGAAGAAACTTGACATACATTTCAGTTAATTGAAGTGGTATATAGTTTTTCTTTTAGTAATTATATAGAAATCTTTAAGAGCGGTAAAATATGAGAAACTTTGTTGATAGTAAATGATAAGGCATGACATTCGTCGATAGTTTAGATTTCTTATAGCAAGCACTAAGCAAAAAAAAAACCTTGTTTAATGAGTGAAAAGGTGTTTCATGTGGCATTCTATACCTCTGGGGGCATGGGCATCCAACAATCGATGGAAACCCCATCTCTTTGGAGAGCCTTGGAGTGGCTGAGGTGGGTGCATCGGGCTGACACGCGCCACCGCTCA